TAATCCAGACAAAACATAAGTATTTTGAATGGGAAACTCTCCTGATCTGGACAGAAGGATTCAACTGGTATACAGGGTTACACTTCCCCTGACGAACCACAACTACAGCTTGGAAATCAGTCTGATTCATCACTGTTTGTGGAAACACAAGTGGGGGTATTAGCCAAGAATGACCATTACTAAATTCTGTTAAGCTATGCCGCTTTTTTAGAGCAGTGGTCCTGGCCACAATTATTTGCCCTAATAGCATCTAAACTGGTTGCTCTAATGAGCATTATGTTGGGCTGTCTTTGGAAATAACCACTTGTGCAAAATTTGGCCACTTGAGTCCTTGTTGGGATTAGATCAGGAATTACCTATAGGAGGCCTGGGACCTATTTTCACCTCTCCTGCAGATACCTCCACTGTGGGTAACATTCTGTAGGGGGGAACACAATCTGCCTTGGTCGCCCTGTATGATGACCTGTGCAGGGAGAGAGACAGGGAGAGTGCGTCCCTGTTGGTCCTCCTGGACCTCTCAGTGGCTTTCGATACCACTGACCATGGTATCCTTCTGGATAGGCTAGCAGGACTGGGAGTAGGAGGCACTGCTTGGCAGTGGTTCCGCTCCTACCTCGACGGCCGATTCCAGAAGGTGGTGCTGGGGGACTCTGGCTCTGCGCCATGGCAGCTATGCCACAGACTACCGCAGGGCTCCATTTTGTCCCCCTTGCTATTCAGTATCTACATGAAACCGCTGGGAGAGGTCATCAGGAGGTTTGGGCTGCAGAATCATCAGGATGCTGATGACACCCAGCTCTACCTCTCTTTTTCAACTGATCCAGGTGAGGCAGTGGCTGTACTGAACTGGTGCCTGGCCGAAGTAATGGGCTGGATGAGGGCCAATAAACTGAAACTTAATCCAGACAAGACGGAAGTCCTGTTGGTGGATGGACTGAGCTCCTGGGTAGGTGGCCTGGACCTTGTCCTGGATGGGGTTGCATTCCCTCTAAAGGACAGGGTCCGCAGCTTGGGAGTGCTCCTCGACCCTGAGCTGTCTTTGATAGCTCAAGTGACTGCGGTGGCGAGGAGCACTTTCCTTCAGCTTCGGCTAATCTATCAGCTGCACCTGTACCTGGAGGAAGACTGCCTAACGACAGTGACACATGCATTGGTTACTTCCCGGTTGGATTTCTGTAACACGTTCTATGTGGGGTTTATTTATTTAGAAGACTTCTATATACTGGATACTTCAGATGGAGCGAAACAGAGCAGCCAGGTTGCTGACGGGGACTGGGCATTATTCTCACATAACCCCAGTCCTCTACCAGCTTCACTGGCTTCCCATTGAAGTCCGCACTCAATTCAAGGTGCTGGTTATTACCTATAAAGCCCTAAACGGCTTGGGACTGGATACCTGAAGGAACACCTTCTTCCATATTTGCCCTCCCGCCCCTTGAGATAGGCAGTAGAGGCCCTCCTCCGGGAACCCTCCGTGAAAGACATTAGGAGGCAAAGTACCCAGAAGGAGGGCTTTCTCTGCGGTGTCATCCCGCCTATGGAATGCACTCCCCAGAGAGGTCTGCCTGGCTCCGTTGTTATTTATTTTTCGGCGCCAGGTTTTATTCCAGTGGTATTTTAATAAGTTTAATATTGTTTTTTCTATGTTTTTAATTGCAACCAGTGTGGTTCAGGAATTTTATTTATGCTATTACATTGTAAGCCGTCCTGAGGCTTTTTTGCTATTAGGATGGCATATAAATATTTTAAATAAATAAATAAGCTTGTTAAAGAATCAGATTTTGGATGCTTTGCACTCCTTGAGAATTTGCTTGTCTTGGTTTCCAATATGCTGTTGCTATACCAAAGAAATGTGAGTACAAATGAATGCTTTAATGTGTTGCTGGGATCAAATCCAATCTCCACCTTATGATCATGTGCTCTGTTTTTCCTTGTGCAAAGGGGTAGTGCTGTTAGAAGCACAGCTTTTTCTCTATTATACTGAGTGGACCATACCACCATTACTCTATTTTATACAAGCACATGCATGCACACAGTCACTCATTCTACTCAACAGGTAGGATCTTACAATAAATGTACCTCAATTTCCCCTTGTGTAGTTGCTTTTCTGTTTTGCTTTTCTATTAGCTTTTGCTTTTTTATGTGATATGTTTCTGCACCAAATTTGAGTGCAAAGGAGTACTGTAGCATGATGCTGAAAACAGACTCAAACTCTTATTGCAATTACAATTCCTCCTAAGGTTTTTTTACCATCTTGTGCATTTTACACAGAAGTAAATCCCATGTTGCACCTTACTGTCATGAATCTGCTTCAAAAGAAAGTGGATATTCCTTGTGTACCAGCAAATCACCAGCAAAAGCAGAAGGGGACAGTATAGTCCACAAAATCTCCATGGCGGCACAAATGGCCTAGACCAACTTACATGTGCTGAAACCTTGAAAGGGAAATGAGGTAACAAATTCAATGGAAACAATTGCACCCAATCAGCTGCCACGGACACCAGCTGCCAATGAAACCTAGTCAGGCAAGCCAGGAGGTTATCTTAGTTCTCTGCATCAGAACCCACTGAGAGGTCCAGAAGTACTAACAGGGTTGCACTACCACATCAAGTTCGTAATATATGTCATCCACCAGGGCAACCCCAGCTGTTTCAGTTCCCAAAATCAGAGTTAAACCTAGACTGAAATAGATCCAGATAATAATTATCTTCGAAGACCACTAGAAAGGCTGGAAAATGGAGGGTTAAGCATAGTGAACACTATTATAGCCTGAAGGTTCTAAATTTGATTTCCCCCCCCCCCCAGGAGGGGTCTGACCATTACCTCCTTAGTCTCTCCTTGCTTACATGGAGTCTTGTATAAAGGAAAAATAGCAGGAAAAAAACTACTGTTCAAGTGATTGTCAGAGACCACTTAAAGTCTTCCTATTGCATTATTATTATTATTATTATTATTATTATTATTATTATTATTATTATTATTTTGACCTGAATGTTATTGGCTCTTTAAATGCTCAACTAGTATGACTATGTTGTCTATATAATTCTCTGTGCATTTTATCATTTGAACTGGGACAAATTTTACTGTAACCCATTCCAGATATTTTAATAGAACAGAAAAATTTAGATTCATCAGTAAATAACAGACATATAGAACAGAAATTCCAAATTCTCTAAACCCCTTGCCGCAATTCATAAGCAAACAGAAAAGCATGTAAAATCAGTGCAAGCAAATGTGGTAGGTTTTCATTGTTTATCTTCAGAACAAGTTTCTGGTTAAAGGATATAAGGATTGTTGTGCAGAGCTGATATTGCAGAAATATTGCAGATCTCCTGAAGAAGGCCTAAAAAACCCTACATCAGGGGTCTCAAACTCGCGGCCCGCGGGCCAATTGCTGGGATGGGCGGGGCATGGGGGAGGGGTCCTGCAGCCTTCAAAGCACCAGCAGTGCCCGGGCCGGCCTCCGAATGAGCGGCCCACCACCATCGCGGTGGTGGAATACTTGATGTGGCCCAGTTCACCCAGCCTCTACTTCCAGCGGCCCCCAAGTAAGTTGAGTTTGAGACCCCTGCCCTACATACTGCTATGGCCATGATCCTGTCTGTGCCCTATGTCTCCACCATTCTGCATGTGCAAAAGAATGATAGGACAGTAGAGTTGGAAGGGGCCAGAAGCCATCAGGTCCAACCCCCTGCTATTGCAGGACCCTAAGTTGCACCATCCCATTCAGAGGACAGTCCAAATGCTTTTTGAAGGTTTCCATCGAGGGGAGCTCACAACTTCCACAGGTAATAGGTTCCAATATCATACTGCTCTAACAGTCAGGGAGTTCTTCCTGGTGTCTAGTCTAAATCTGGTTTCCTTCAAGTTAAGTCTATTATTCCATGCCCTGCACTCTGGAATGAACAAGAAGAGATCTTGTCCTTCCTCTTTGTGACAGCCTTTCAGGTACTTGTAGAGTGCTATCATATCTCCCTTCAGTCTTCTCTTCTCAAGGCTGAACATGCACAGTTCTCTCAAGCTTTCCTCATAGGGCTTTGCCTCCAGTCCCTGAATCATCCTTGTTGCTCTCCTCTGTACCCTTTCTAGTTTTTTCTGCATCTTTTAAAAACTTAGGTGCCCAGAACTGGTCACAGTACTCCAGGTGAGGTCTAACTAGTGCTGAGTATAGTAGAACTAGTACTTCATGTGTTTTGGAAGTGATGCTTTTGTTAATGCAGCTCAAAATAGCATTTGCTGTTTTTGCAGCTACATCACATTGTTGGCTCATTTTTAGATTGTGCTGACAACCCCAAGATCTTTCCTATTTGCAGTATTGCTGAGCCAAGTTTTCCTCAACTTGTAGCAGTGCATCTAATTTCTTGTTCTTAAGCGGAGGACTTGGTATTTGTCCCTACTGAATTTCATTCTGCTGCTCTCTGCCCTGTGTTCTAACCTACTGAGATCACCCTGTCTTTCAGGGAATTTTCTATTCCACCCAGCTTTGTGTCATCTGCAAATTAATCATCTTTCCTTCTACTTCATCATCCAAATCATTAATAAAAAGACTGATCCCAGGATGGAACCCTGTGACACCTCCCTTGTCAACTTTCCCCAGTCTCAGAATGCAACATTGATGAGCACTCCTGGAATCTGATTTTGTAGCCAATTAGTTGCACTAAACTATCTAGGCCACTTTCTGCTAGTTTAGTAATCAAGATGTCATGGGTAACTTTGCCAAAAGCTTTGCTACAGTCTAGATAATGTTCACAGCATTCCCACAGTCCATTTGGGAGGTTACCCCAGTCAAAAAAATGAAATTAGATTCACCTTGCAGGATTTGTTCTTGAGAAATCTATGGGAAAGGAAGGCTGATGAGATGAAGAAAACATTAGGCAAGAGGTCATAATCTATATTAAACAAAGAGAGGCAGAAAAAAACTGTAACAACTTTCAAAAGAGGTAAAAATAACACGAAATACTAAAATATTATCTTTAATATTTATATTGTTAGTTTTGTACCTTAATTTGTTGTCTTCTAAGCATTGCAAGTTCTCTCATATCTCGGAATGGCTGCAGTAAGTACTGATAGAGTTCTGTGGTGGCTTCAGCAAGACTACCATAGGCTTCATCTTCCATTTGATATAATTCAAGCAGCTCTACCATGCTTTCTGTATTTTTGTGCTTTTCCAGGAGCTATGTAAAAAGTGAAGGAAAATAATATATTAAAACATAATCAAACTTTCCTGTTATCACCATGAAATACAATACGGTGGTACCTTGGCTCATGAACTTAATCCGTTCCAGGACTCTGATCATGACCCAAATTGAGCCAAGTTAAATTTCCCCATAAGGTTCAATGTAAATAAGGTTAATCTGTTCTGTAACCATTTTTTAAATGAGAAAAATGTGAAGCAAAGTGACAGCAACAAAGACCGCAGCCAACTCCCCCTCCAACCCCAAGCACAAGCGCGGCCATCTCCCCCCCACCCCAGCACGACCGAGATTCCGCCTGTCATCCCTGCACCCGCCCGTCATCCCTGCACGCGCCCATCATCCCGGTACACAGGGGGGTGGGGGGGGGAAACGGGCATGATCGCGGGTGCACTGGGGGAGGAAGAGATGGGTGCAAACAGCGCTCTGGGGGAGGGAGAGATGGCTGTGATCGCAGTTCCGTTCGTGCAGGGAAGGTGTGCCTGATCAGAGGTGCACTCCTGCAGGAAAGACAGGCGGAATCTCGGCCATCTCCCCCGTGGCTCTGCTTTGCTGCTCCCATCTTTCCTGCAGCAATGTGCCTCTAATCACGCACACCTTCCCTGCACGAAAGCAATGCGATCGTGGCCATCTCCCCACTCGGGGGGTGGGGGGGAGATGGCTGCAATCTTGGTCACCATCCAAAGCGGTGTTCGCGACCCAAGTCAAAATTTTTCAGAAATGTTTGTTTGTGACCCAATTTGTTCGTGAACCAAGGCATTCATGAGCCGAGGTATATACTTGTAACTAGAAAGTCATTCTAATACTACAGTTAATGATACTGACATAACTTAATCAATGGGTAAGGAAACTGTTTCGAAGTGTGTTTGTTCCTGCTCCCCCCAGACCACACTGCAAGCTAGATAACATTAGAGGGCAGGACTTCAGACAGAGCCTGTTTTGTTCCTGCTAGCCAGAAAAACCCCAGGCAGAGCAAAACTCACTGAAGTGCTGGCTTTACCCTCCCTTGCACTCCCCACACTGGAATGTCCATCACTACTGAGGAGGAGTGAAGCCAAGGCAGCTCGGTCCTCTTTATTCCTTCATCACCTTCCAATAGAAAAGGGAACTGAGGCAGCTCCACTCTCATGTTCTCCACACAGGGAACATGAAGAAGGAAAGAAGCTGAATGGCTCTGTCTCCTTTGCTCTTCTGTTGCCTTCTGACAAAAGAGCAAAAGGAACTTGGCTCTACTCCACCTTGGCTTTCCCTACTCAGGGAAAGCCTAGGCAGAGCAAAACACTCCATCTCAGGTTTGATGTGTGTGGGCTTTCTCTGGATGCAGAAGGAGCTAAGGTTTCTGTAGCTCAGACAGACAGCTTTGGCAAGTCAGAGATTCCCCATGCCTAACTAAACCCCATCCCATGTTTTTGAATAAATGTAACACGAATAAAGCAAAGGGGCTTAGAAAACCTTTGGTCTCCAGCTTTCTGTCACATATGCACTAAGTACATGGTGTTACTGCAGGGATAGGGAACCTCTGGCCTATTGGAATCCCCATTATAGCTCACATAGCATCTCAGGACAGTCACACCCTTTTTCCCATCACACTAAGTTGCATTTGTTAGTTGCAGCCACAGAAACTCTGTTGTTATATCTGATTGGTGATAAATACCATGTGAAAGGCCCCACTGCTTTCTAATCACTGATATATAATAAAAGCAGTTTCCCTTGTAAGATAATAAGGGAAAGGGACTCAGATGATGTCAGGTGGTGCTACCTGTCCCCTCACACCATCTAGTTTCCATGACTGTTCTAGGATACAATCTGGCACCTAACACCATAATAGCTCTCCAGCTCTGTGTAAATACTTACACTGTTACTATTAATACTGATTTGCTATCATTTAAGCATTCTAATTATCTATGTTATGCTAATCTTTGATTATTTATATTAATCATCATTACCCTTCCTGATTTAGATCCTTCTGAAAATTATTTTAATGTAAAATATGAAAAGTAAATAGCAGAATTTATTCCCAAGAATGTGCATGGGCAGCTGAATTTAGAGAATTGGTATAGGCAAACCTTCAACAGATTTGTTTAAAACAATGTTTATGGTCTATGAAAGAAAAAGCTTTTGTGATAGACGTTAAATGTGAAGTATGTCTAAACCCTGCTCAAACAACAGATAACAGTTCTTTATGTTTGTTCCCCTTGGTCTTACCTTTTAAACAGCTGATTCAATTAATACTGAATAAAGCAAATTAGTTTTTAAAATCCTGAATAGTACACAGTTGGTTAGATAGTTTAACTGTCCATACCGAATAAATAAAACATAAATAATAAAAAATGAATCAATTTGAAATCACCTACCCACCCGCCCACAATTTAACTTTAGTATAATCTTGAACACATTTAGATCTAAGTATAATGTAGGAATTTTTCTGTCTAATTTTCTGTCTAATTTTCTGTCTGATTTTCTGTCTAAATGTGTAGGATCCCATATGTGCCTAGCCAGACCCTAATATCATCAGCTGAAGTTCTTCAAGAGCTGCCTCTGAAGGAAATTAAGAGTGGCTTATGAGGTGAAGGGCCTTTTTTGTGGAGCTTCCGTGACTGGCGGTTCACCTTGTGTCCTTTTCACTCTTTTCTGCACCAGAAAAGAAACTTTTTTATTTGCCCATTGTTTCAATGGTTAAAATATTTTAAGGACTTTTAACCTTTTTGTCTATTTGGTATTTATGATATTCCATTGCAACTATATCTCTGAATTAACTTAGCTTGTGCCTGTTGGGTGGTGGCGGTTGTTGTTTTTTTAGTATACAGTAATACCCTGTATTCACAGGGGATAGGTTCTAAGGGCCCCTGCAGATGCCTGAAACTTTGGGAGTAGCAAACAATATATACTGTACATGCTGTACTTACCTATGATAAAGCTTAATTTATACATTGGGCACTAAAAGACATTAAAAACAATAACTATTAATAAAGTCGTATAATAAAAAATATGTGAATCTTGTCTTTCTCTTTCTCAAATATTTATTGTACTGTACTCACCCTCAACTGAGATAGATAGTAAGTCACTAATAGCTAGGTAGCATGTACAGTGTGGATAAGTTGCACAAGAGTTCACCACATTACTCACAATGGTGCACAATTTAAATTATGAATGTTTACTGTATTACTGGAATTGTCTATTTAATTTTTTTGGTCTGCAGTCAAGGGAAACTGTGATAACTGAAACAGCAGATATGGGGGGGTTTGCCATATTTCAATTCGAAATCTTGATCATTAATCCTGTTTTTATCTACCTACTACAGAATTTGAAAACAAAACAAAGTTTATTCAAAATAGAATTTGAACAAGGTAAAGTAGGGTATGAATAGTAAAAACAAAAACAATGATAATTTCATTTAACTATTTCATTTTTATAATGCCCAATAGCTAAAGTTCTTGATCATGTCTACATTTTATCAATTTTACAAAAATTTGCATATAATGTACAGATCTTTCATAAATGCTATAGCGAATCCCTTTTTTAAACAATTGTGGTCAATTGGCTCCAAGCAAAACATTCAACTGAAAGGTGTACATGTGTGTATATTCTAGAGATAAAATATGATTCTTTCTTATACTTACTATTTTTTCTTCAGAAAAATGCCAAGATTAGGGTCATATTTGAGGAAACGGCCTGAACTGTTGATATGCATAGCTTTTCTTTTGTGTTCTCCCCCCAAGAATATACACCCTAAATCTCATGACAAGCTACTTGTGTAATTCAGTTGAGTTTGGGGAGGGGCGGGTTGTAAGGATAAGGCAAAAGCCTGTTCTGTGCACAATCCAAGTACCACAGGTATTCCCACTGAGTAAAGCAGTTTGATGACTGGCAAGATTATAACCTATTGTAAGATGTGATATCAGACTGAAAGGAAAAGAAAGACAAAGAAAGCCTCTCTATAGCACGCTAAGCAAACTTGCCAGACCTGCATGTGTTTTCATTTAATATGACAATTGTCTGCCCCCATTGTCTTGTGACAACATGGCACCACTACTCTTGAGTCATTATTAATTTAATTAAATAAGTACTCATGAAAAAATGCAGTCATTAAACCTCAAAAGTTAAAAATATTGCTCTGGAGCAGATCGACAAACTTACTGAAATAGATGGAGGAACCAATATGTTGCCCCAGTTATGGAAAAGACATTTTCCGTGTTATTTTATGCAAATCATGTACCAGAAACCTTCAATATCTCTGGCCCTGAGATTTGAAACAACAGCCTTCATAATATGTACAGGAAATTAATATCTATTTAATAAGTACCACTGCATTTGTGTTTGATAATATGAGGAACGCAAGACTAGTAAAATGTCAAGTTACTAACTAATCAGCTTGACTCATTTAGGCAATGTGGACCTTCAGAGAATCAAATAAAATACAGTATACCTGCCAAATCTGCAATGGTCACACAGTTGAGAAAGATCTATATTGACCATGGCTGTAACAACCAAACCATGGTTTGAGCATCAGGATATGAGTTTATGGCACAAGCTAGGCCGATCTGTCTATTTGAGCTATATGAATATCATATCCCAGGCTTACGAAAGAACATTGCAGCTGCTTTACTCTATACTAGTTAAGACCACATTTGAAGTACTGTGTTCAGTTCTACAGAGTACTGAGTTTTAAAAAGCACCTGAGATGGCACAGCTGGAAAAACTCCAAAACCTTAGTATAGTTATTTATTTATACCCACTTGTCCTCTAAATAGTTCAGGCCAGTGTATACAATACCTATGTTTTATGTTTACAACAACCATACCAGGTAAGTTAGGCTGACAGGTGACCCAAGATCACCCAAAATTACCAGTAAGTTTTGTAGCGGAACAGGATCTGGGCTTGAGTGTCACTGGTCTGTTCAACATTCTAGCTACCATACTGGATCTTGGAGATGAGCTGTCCCCATTTCCAAGTGGCTTTATAAGTTCCATATCACTCTTTAA